CCCCCCCCAATGGCCAGAGCATTCTCTGCAAATGCGCAGGGATTGCTTTTACTTTTGGGGGGATTTAAATACCCCCCATATATTTTTTCTACTTTTTAGATTTTTCTGCACACCTGGGGACTCCTCCAAGTGTGCAGAAAAATCCCCCCCCCCCCGATGTGCGGATTTAGTTATCCGCATGGAGGGGGCATCTTGGCTATTGGATACATAGATAAAGTACATGGAACCCCCCCTAAGAAACAAAGCAAAACAAAAGAGACTCTAAACACCCTGGGAAGCTCTGGGATCCACTGTAGTGGTCTCTCAAGGCCATGTGGCTAGGAAACCAAGGGCCAAGAACCCTAGGATTTGCCAAAATGTTTGCCCCTCTAACCACACCATGCAGGGAGACAATGGGTCAAGGAGTCTTTTGTAGTTCTGCGGGCCTGCAGAGAGACCACGAAGAGAGTGCCGTGTGTCTAGCCCTCACTGCATGAAGAGAAAGCTCGAAAGCACACAGACGGAGCGCAGTAAAGATGGGGGAACCCGGAGGAGATCTGAAAGGGGCCCTCCTGTCCTTTTGGAACATCCCATTCTCTTTCCAGGGGTTCTATCCAGGAGGGCTCAAGCTAAGACCTCCTCCCACACTTGCTGGGTTGTCACTGCCTCTTGCTGCAAAGAAACAGTTGTTTTCATCGATCAAGGTGGGTAGCCGTGTTGGTCTGAGGCAACTGAACAAAGTTAGAACCCAATGGCACCTTTAAGACCAACAAAGTTTTATTCGAGGCATGAGCTTTCCCGTGCAGACACACTTTGTCTGTGTGCATGCACATGAAAGCTCACACCTTGAATAAAACTTTGTTGGTCTTAAAGGTGCCATTGGACTCTAAATCTGTTCAGTTGTTTTCATCATACACTTTCTCTTGCAGGGATTCTTAACGTGCTAACAGAGGCCAACAGGGAACGCAGCAAACTGCCCCCACGGCTACACCTTCCCCTTCCCCTGGCTGTTTGTGGTAGGAAAGGTACGAAAGAGAGACGTGTGGGGCAGGAGGCTGGAACCTTGAGGCTGCCGCCCCAATTTGATGAGAAGTCCTTCTGACAAGACAAATGGACCGGTTCTGCCAAACTGACAATCTGAGCACAGCTCAACACGCACACACCCACTTAACCCTGGACGTGTGCCACGAACAAATCCGGCCGCGGCTGTGTTAAGACAGGTTACTTCATTGGCAAGGAAACCAAGCCGGGATCTCTGGACCTGGGCCAGGGCAATAGCTTTCTTTAGACCAAAAAAAAAAAAGTCCCTTGGAATCCATTCATGCAAATATCTGTGCCGTGCTTTTTCGCACTGCGGGAGACTATCAGAGAAAGTTCCTTCCTTCCTTCATGCCGCCACCCCCCCTCCAAGCATGACATCAGGAAGGGCTTCCGACTGATGTCCTAATCTTATCGAGCAGGAAAGGCTACTGACGTGACCGTTCGGCTCTTTGAGGATCATTGCTAAAATGCTACACCTTCTGAAGGCAGAAAGTCCGTCTAGAGCAAGGAAGTAAAGTTTGCAGGGGTTTGGGGTTTTTTTTTTTTGCAAGTAAGGTGACGTGCTGACATAATCCCCAAGTTTCCCAGGATTGTAAACAGGAAATAAAAAAGGATTGGAAGTAATTGCTCAACAACCCCCCCCCCCATTTTTAAAACAATGACCTTTGAAATCTTGTAGGTGGATAGGCAAGGAACCTTTAAACATGAGGCAAAGGGGACATGGGTGATATGTGCAGCGGCTTAAGATGCATTGGAGATAAGAGGAATGTAATTTTATTGCAGTAAACGCCAGGGGCCGGCCCACCCAGGCACTAATCAGGACCGACCTGGGTAGCCCAGTCTTGGAAGCTAAGCAGGGTCGGTTCGGGTTAGTCCTTGGACGGGAGACCAGTGTTCCCTCTAAACTGAGTTTGTGTGAGCTCGCAGTTTTTTAGCCTCCAGCTCATACATTTTTATCTTCGCTCAGGAAGGGATGGCTCCAGAGGAAACTAATTTAGGCCACAAAATGTTTTCCGTGTACTTCTAAAGCAGCGGTCATCAAAATTGAACAACTTGAGGGCCACCATCCTCGTTTACAATGTTCCAGAGACCCCCCCTTCCCCCAAGGCCCCCCCTGTGGTGTCTGCTGTGTGCCAGAGAGTCCGCTTTCGAAGTATGCAAGGGAAGCCATGCGTCCCCTTATTAGGGGCTTCCGCCCTCTCACATCCTTAGAAGAAGACAGTTCAAAACGTATCAGTTACACTTGAAAAGCAAATTTAAGACAAAAGTCGGTATTGTCTGCAGGGCTCAGCAGTGTCCTTATGAATGCTTCACAGACATCCTGCAATAGGCTTGCAAACTCACTGGGGACCCCAGACCCCGTATTGAGACACCTTGTTCTAAAGCTTGTGGGGTTCTTTTCGGCAATCTCCCCAGCCTCCCCAGATGTACTAATTCCATCTCTTCGTTTTGGTCTGGCTGCTGTGGGGATGGATGGGGCAGGATCGATGCTTTGAACTGAGGTGTTTGCCTACCTCGTAATCATTGAGAGCGATTATTAGGGGGCTAATTCCCTGGCTTTTCATCCGGCAACCTGCCCCCTGGAGAGTGGCTGGAGAGGAATTCTAAGTGGAGTTCATACGGGGGCAAATGGCGCCCTCATAGGCCATGTAGGTCTGCTTGCATGAAGGTGGAAAGTGCTGTGAAATCACAGCAGGCTTATGGCAACCCCTCGTGGGGTTTTCAAGGCAACAGACGAACAGAGGTGGTTTGCCATCGCCTGCCTCTGCATAGCAACCCGGGACTTCCTTGGTTGCCTTCCATCCAAGTACTAACCAGTAACAACCCTGCTTTGCTTCCAAGATCTGACAACATGGTTCTGGCCTGGGCCATCCAGGCAAAGATCCATTGGCACAGCCTCTGCAAAACCTGGACTGTTTGGGCTCAGAACCCGAACCACGCCAAAAAAAGGCATGGAGCCTCTGTGACGCTCCTCAACAAACAGCCAGGGCTCCTTGTGCAATGCCAGATGAGGAAAAATGTTGCTCACTGGAGCCCGGCGTTTCCTGTAGCCGTGGATCCTCCTGAGTGTCATCCCAAGGAGGAAAACTGGACCAAGCGAGGCTCTCCTATGACTAACCAGGAGCGGACTAACTCCTAGGAAAGAGTCTAAGGCTTACGTAAACCTGCTCTTGCTCCACACTGGCCCCGCAAGGTCATGACTCTGCCTGCCAGCCAGGGACGCTCATGAAATTACAGTTGCGTGACCTGATTTGCTGCCGCTCCCTTCCGGCACCGGCTAATCTGTTCCAACACTTTCCCGCTTGCTATGGTGTCTTAAGGGCCTTCTGACTCAGATGGAGGCAAGGATGGGGAAGGCAGAAGCAAATTAAAGCTCATGATTCCATGGGGTGAAATAAAAACCCTATACAGCCCAAATCCTTTCATCTTCGCCAGCAAAGAGTTTTTACTGTTGCATGGATTCCTTGCAGACCACAGTACGCTGATTCAGAAGGCGAGGCCTAAAGCTTCTGCCCCCGGGGATGTCGTGGTCCCTGCTGCCGCCCAGCTGCTTGGAGCCCAAGAGGCATCCTTCAAATGAATGGGGGGGGGGGGGCCAACGGCAGCGAGCCCATGGCAGTGGAAGAACACCATGCCTCCTTACTGTGAGGCCCCCGAGACCGCTGGGCAAATAAGCCCATGGATGTTACCAGCCAACAACCAGGTGTTAACAGCTTCCTTGCCACACGTGGGCACACCTGAAGCTCACGCAGAGGCAAATGGTGCCATTGTACACAACACAGGTCCATTTGCACGGTGACGGAGAGCGCCGTCTATTCCCACTAGCAGGGGCCTTCTAGGGCCTCGACTTCTCAGGACTGCCTCCTGCATGCGACGCACAAGCACCAGCACTCAGCCAACTCGATGAGTCATTTGTAGCCCAAGACGGGAGGAGGAGCAGCTTCTGTAAACCTTCCCTGCCTCCTGCCTCCAGGCAGTCGCCACCTGCCATGTGCCCGTGGAGAAGGCTGCCCGAAGCAGCAAACCCCAGCTCTACAGAGAGCAGCAGGGGAGGCCGTTCCCCCTTCACCACCTTCAGAGCCTCTGTGCTTCAGCAAAAGTCGTTCCAGACAGATGGTCCCCTGCAGCAGGTGGCCGGGTTGGAATTCACGAGTAGGCCAGGCCCCACCAGCCTCGGGCTCAACAGAGACTGGGAGTGGCTCTCATCTCACTACGGAAAGTAATTGTCCCTCTTTGGGATGGCTGTGATATTATTCATCTTGCGCTGCCAATTCGTCATCAGTTGGGAATGGGTCGCATCTACTCTGACTGGATCATGCTTTCGCTTGTGAGCTCTTACGTGGCTTGGCCCCTGTGACTTGGCTTTATTTTTTTTAAAAAGCATCCTTCATGCCCATCTCTCCACACTCACGGCAGACATACACCTATTCGCTGAGCCTTGCGACTCCGACAGCCTGGGTCCCTGCCCACCAGCCTGTGTGCCGCCATGCCAGGGCTGGTTTTTACGGCGCCGCAAGACTCTCTGCCATTTGACCTGCAACCAACAATACCTCTCTAAAAGACAAACAGGAGGCAGTTTATTATGTGGTTAAAAATTCTAGTCCATCCAACTGCTGAGCTAAATAAGGGCCGGTCATTTGACTGGTCAAAACACATTTGGGCAATATGTGTGCGTGTCAGTGGTCCCTCTAAGCTGAGTTAGTGTGAGCTAGCTCACAGTTTTTTTATCCTCCGGCTCGCCCATTTTTGTCTTACCTCAGGAAGGATGGTTCCAGGGCAAACTAATTTTTGCAGTAGCCAAATTGCTCGCTCACAACTTTAATGCCAGGAGCTCACAAAGCAGAATTTTTGCTCACAAAACTCCACAACTCAGAGGGAGCCTTGGTAGCTGAGTCAGTCTGAAGCGAGCGACCATCCGAGGGAAAACCATAGAGTTTTCCCTCGGATGACCGTGGCCCCGCCCCAGCGTGCCCGGCGTGGTCGCGTGACTTCCTGGTGGCGTGCATGTTGGGGTAGAGTTCCCCCCGGGGCCCGATCCGGCGGCGGTGGGGAACGGGCCTCTGGGGCGGGGGGAAGCCTACTTTCTTCCCTATGGAGCACAAGGGGGCTTACAATATAAATAAAATACACAAAATGGAGTACATAAGAAATACATAAACCCAATTTTTAAAACCACAATTTAGGACTGCTTTAATCAAAGGCAGTCCTAAATACAAGTGTCTTCAGCTGCCTCCGGAAGATCGGAAGTGAAGGGGGGCCAGGGGAGACTGTTCCATAATAACGGGGCTCCCACTGAAAGGGCCCTTCCTTGTTTACCCGCGAGACAAGCTTCTTTGACTGACGGGACAGGAAGGCCTCTCCGTGTGTTGATCTTAAATCTCAGGCAGGAACATGCAGAAGACGGCAGTCCTTCAGATACCCTGGTCCCAAGCCACGTAGGGCTTTAAAGGTCAAAGCCAACTCCTTGGACTGGGCTCGGGAGTGAACTGGTAGCCAGTGTAATTGGTGTAGTACTGGGGTCACATGCACTACATCTGTCTGTCTGTCTAATCTCTCTCTCTCTGTGTATATATGTATATATGTGTGTGAGTTGGATTCAACTGGCTTTCGAGCAAGGGAAACCTTTACCTTTATGTATGTATACACACATATAGGTGTGTATGTGTGTGTATATAGAAACATTTATCAATGCTGGTAAGGTTTCTATAAATGTTAAGTGAATCACTGAACCCAGCCTGGAACCACCAGGGTCAAGCTACAGCTAAAGGGCATAATTTAAAATCAAATACAACAGAAATCCGGCGAATTGGAAATCTTCTGCACCTCCGAATCTGTCATCCTGGTACGACAAGATCTGGGGTCAATTCGTGATGAATAAAATCTCTAATACTTTGGATCGGATGCAAAATGGTTCCAGTAAAGCTTATGATAAATTTGTACTTACCTGGCAACCAGTCCTCGGCTTCATGGCAGAACATGACTTGCTTCCCTCTAGGATGGACTACCACGCCTGGCTTCATTTTTGATCTCACCCTGACCTCTGCCTTACTGCCAAGACTCCTTTTATGGTTCAGAGCTGCAGACTCCCGAATATGTTGTATTTTAGACTTCAATCAATTCATTAGGATTTACAGCTCAAATATCACTTGTAAATGTGTGTACTGACCTGATACTGACTTACTTTTTACTCTGACAAGCCTTTATTGGCATGTGTATATGCATACAATACGAGATCAGGTTAAATATAGATCGGAAAATACAAATCAATATAGGGTAAAATTGGAGCTACGGTGCAGGAAAACAGCCTAAAAACAGAAAAACCTAGTGGTTACTTATCAGAACGTATAGAAGAAACCTTGCTACTATTTCTGTTATTTCCGTATCTGGATTATCAAGTAAAAACAGAACCTTAAAATCGTCAGGAATCTCTGGGAATTGAGCTAATATAGGGTACAGAAGATCCTGGCGGGGCACCAGATAAAAGGGACATTGAAGGAGAACATGGGGGACAGTTTCAACACAGTCCTTCCTACGAGGACAGCCCCTGCTGGAGTAGGGGATCCCCTGGAATCTGCCAGAGAGAAGAGCAGAAGGAAGAACATTAAATCTGGCCAAGGAGATGGCTCTGCGCAAATTTGGAGCTATAAGTTGATAAAGATATACAGGTGGAAGATTTGCATTTGGAACAATCCCTAAATTTAGGGGAGAACAGGTTCTGTTAGCCTAACTATAGAGAGTTTGCAATTCTGATCCCAATGATTTTATTGTCTTATCTGGTTTTATGTATGGGCTCATGCCCTAGCGGGGAGGGCGGGGTAAAAATGCCTAAATAAATAAATAAATAAAATAATTTTTTTTAAAAGCCTCAGGCTTAGAAAGCAAGGATAGAGATTCTGAGGGTAAGTTCAAGGAGCATACTTTGGTTTCAATGTCAGATAGCCAGCTAGAATTGACAGATTCAAAAAGTAATTAATACAGATAACTAGAGGGGTCAGAGTTGAAGTGGAGTCGCAGCCAAAATGTAATGGTGTGGGTCCATGCCTTAGGATACTGACTTACTATTTCTATTGCTTAATGTTGACATTTTGTTGATGACTATTCAGCTGGTTTGTAATATTGGATTCTCCGGAATTTTGCATACCGTTTTGCAGTTACTGTATGTTATACTTACTCCCAATACACACTCTAAAATTTAAAAAAATATATAACAGAAATTGAGTAAAGCTAAGAGCAACTTTTCAAACACCATGTCTGACTGGAGATGCCCGATGTTCTAGCCAGTGGGGAGCTGGAGGGAGCTCCGCTATACTGCTCGGTCTGTCCCTGACTGCTGCCGGACTCAGGGCAGGGGTCAGCATCCTCCCATTGCTAACAAAAAGACCCATCAAGAATTCACCAAGGCAAGCCAGCGCCTATGCAACCGAGCTCTTGGCTTCAGGGAATAGCCGACCACGGCCAAACCACGGGGAGTCAACGGGCAACATTTGACTGGCCAAAGCCATCTAAAACAAGATTTAACATGCCGAGCGGTCCGGTGCCCAGATGGCAGTGCCAACTGTGCCAGCAAGCCCAAACTGCTGTGCCAAGACCCCTCAACGTCTGTGATCAAAATCAAGGCACCTCCTGAATCCACCGGGTGGTGTTCCTTTGGGGTGGGTGGAGCAGAGGCCATCCGCATGCCAGACTGCAAGTATCCTCTGTTTCACGGACACTACTTCAAAGAAGGGAGAGATGGGGGGCTGTTATTTGATTTTTTGGTTTTAAACAGGAAATGTTTTTAACTATCATTGTAAACTGCCTTGAACCACAAGGAAAGGTGGGATATAAAAACTGTAATAAATAATAAATGAATAAATCATAGGTCTGGACTGGGCAAACGCACACACGTCCTTGACATCACCACAGCTTAGGGGCTGAGGACTCAAGGCTCCCTCTTTTCCTTGAACCACCTTAACAGGGCAACAGCTTTCTCCACCAATTTCCGGATTCCAGCACATGCACATAAAGGGAAATGCTCGTCTGCACTTCCAGGTCCTCTTAGTCCTGCCAGCTCCTTTTTCACCCAAGGAAGGGGCGTGGGGAACTTCCTCAAAAACCAAGGTGAAGTCCGTGGAGATGACGTCTTAGCGGGCACCAGCACACCTACTTCCAAGTCACCACGGAATGGTGAAACAGCTATATTGCATCATTTCACTTCCTGGCATGGAATCCAGAAATACCTGGGTTTAATAAGGCAAAACCGGATAAGGTCCTCTTCCTCCAGAGAGCTCAAGGCAGCACTTTTGGAGGGTGGGGAAGCTCCTCTGATGCTATCCTGCCAATGGCCCCGATCAGAGATCATGACTTGTGCAGAGGAACACAGTGAGCGCTACGGGTAAGGGTCTCTCTAACCAAAGAAGTGCCAAAAGGAAATATTTCTTTACAAAACCAGTGATTACAATGCGAATGTAGAGATGGCCACAGGCTTTAAAAGGGGATTAGACAGATTCAGGGACGAGAGGTCCATCAATGGCTACTGGCCATGGTGAATAAGGGGAATCTCCACATTCAGAGGCAGTCAACCTCTGAATCCCAGTGCCAGGAGGCAATATCAGGGGAAGGCCTCGGCCTCTATGCCCTGTTGTTGGACCTCCAGAGGAACTGGTTGGCTACTGTGTGAGCTAGGATGCTGGGCTAGATGGACCACTGGTCTGATCCAGCAGGGCTCTTCTTAGGTTCTGATGTTCTTAAACAGGCAGATCTTTTGCCAGAGGATTAAGAGGAGGCAGCAAACAGAAGTTATCGATGCTGACAGGTGGTGCTTTGCAGGAGAATGCAGAGCCCTGCCAAGAACAAGGCAGCCTTATCAACAATGAAGTGGGCTCATAATATTCTCTCTTCGGCTTTTCTCCTTGCAGGTTATAAAAGCAAGCAACTATGTAAATAGAAGGTTTGGGGGGGGCAGGAAGTCCACAGTGAGCACTAGGCACAGGTCTTGCAATTTGTATTTTAGACACTCTGCAACTTTAAAAATAAATAAATCTAAAATAAATCTATTTCATGAAAAGACTTGTTAAGTGGACGTAAGAGATTGCAGAAGCAAGCACTTCAAGACCTGAGCGGCTTGCCAAGTCATGTGAACGCCTGGGCAGCACCAGCCCAAAATTATGCAAGAGTCTGGAAGTTGCCAAGGAATGAGGCAGGATTGAATGATTAGGGAAAGCACAGGAGTCTATAAATAGCCCCAATTAATGAGAAGTCACTCCCACTCAAAGGGAGAAGCCGGCTAGGGAAACAAAGAATTTCTGAAGACATTACACATTAAACAAACTTCTAGGTTATTCCTCTTCAAGGGCTAAATTTAAACTGATAATTAGAACCCTATTTATAGGCCAAGAAGGGGAAAGCAGACAAGCAAGGAAACTACTGCCCAGGCCAGAGGTCAGAACAGAGAGCTGCAGGTTTAAGAAGGTGGCAAAAACCAACACACAGCACAAGACACACTATCAAATCTCTCAGTTATTCTTCTACGGAGTTTTCTAGATAAGACTGATTTCTGTTGGCTAGCAAAAGTACCACTGTTGGTCAACTGGCCCAGCAAAAGCACCAATGCCATGGTCAAGATCTACCCAGAACAGAGCCAGGAATCTGGATCATGGTTTGTGGATCCTGAGCAATGGAATCTAAGGAGGACTGATCTTCCCTCTGAGTGAAGGGAACCCCCCTGGCCATGCCTCTCCAAAACTGCAGACGGCATGTTACCTTTACTAAGCAGTCCTCAATAACACCCAGGGTTAGATTACCGTGAAGCACTTTGTGTGGGGCTGTCTCGCTTTGGAAAGGTCAGATAGTTCAGAGCACAGCAAGCAGGCTTAACAGAACCACACCGGCTGCCAGCTTGTTGCTGGGGACAATTTAGGGAGGGGCTGTGGCTCAGTGGCATAGCATCTGCTTGGCATGCGGAAGGTCCCAGGTTCAATCCCTGGCATCTCTAGTTAAAAGGACCAGGCAGAAGGTGATGTGAAAGACCCCTGCCTGAGCCCCTGGAGAGCCCCCAACAGTCTCAGTAGACAATACCGACCTTGATGGACTGAAGGTCTGATTCAGTGTAAGACAGCTTCATGTGATTTACAGCGCTAATTCTTCCTTTTAAAGGCCTGGGGTCAGGGCACCCGTTCTTACCAGAGCCACTGCCGTGTGAACCTCATATTCCAGGAGTAAAGGTGGATGATCACTGGACACAATGGATAGCTATGGGGTGCAGCTGCTACACTGTTGGGAACACCCGAAGTCAAGCCCCCCTAGCTCAGCCAAGAAGCTCACTGGGTGAGTGGCCAATCACTCTGACTTGGCAAAGAACTACCTCACAGGGCTGTTGAGAATATAAAAGTGAGGAGGCAAGAAAAAGGCATGCTGCTGTGAACTTCTTGGAGGAAGAGTGGGACAAAATATGAGAATCTGAGACGAATTCCCCACCAACATTGCTTTTCCTGGCACCTAGATCGTTAGGCGCCAAGTAAGAAAAGAAATTATTTCCCAGGAATTCTGTTAATCCCCACAGGACACTGTTTTCACTGTGCTTTAATTATCCACTTATTGTCTGTGATGATGTCTTATGATCATGGCTGTCTTTGTAAGAATGCAGGCTGCCGAGTTCTAACTTCAGTGCTGCTTTCTTTGTTCAACTTTGTTAACTTCATTTACACCCCCACGTTTCTCCTCGAAGGTGGTCCAAAGAGGCTTGCATTATTCTCTGCTCCATTTTATCCTCACCACAACCCTGTGAGACAGGTCAGGCTTGAGGGTACACGACCGGCCCAAGATCACTCAACAAGCCTCCATGGAGGAGAGGTCTATCAGTGACGACTAGCTGTGGTGGCTGAAGGGAGCTCCACATTCAGAGGCACTAAACCTCTGGCTCCCAGGGCGAGGGGGCCGCATCCGGAGAAAGCCTCGGCCTCCCTTTGAAGGAGCTGGGTATGTTTTGCCTGGGGAGGAGATGACTGACAGGGGAAATGATAGCCATCTTCAAGTATCTGAA